ATATGCTGTCGGAGGGCAATGTATGCGGGCGACAGTTCGATACACCGATGAGTTGTCATCTGAGGCCCAGGCTTCAATCAGTTCTCGGGCTGTCTTGTTACCGACGTGGGCAATTAACTTCGCAGCTGCGAAGTTGAACTCGTGACCCGTTTCATAGGTTTGGGCAGTCACTTGCGACAATGCGTCATCCCGCTTAACGGCCAGCTTACGTTCGTGTATGCGCGAGCCAAGCATGTGTTCACTTTGCCCGGTATAGTTACAAGGACAGCGCGGGATGCGATACACTACCCCAGATTATTAATTGGCATTTGGTCTGTCTTTTATTTTCATTACCTGGCTGCGCATGGTGACGGTGTGCAATTCCGGCGCCTAGTCCCGCAGCGATGCGCTCGCTCGCTTCTGAGACATCCTTGATGTATGGCAGAGCGTGCCATATCCTCGGTGATTCTTCTTTTTGGATCCTGCGGGGCCGAACGCATAGGCGTCGGTCTATCAATGCTTTTGGATAAACATTCGCATGAATTAGTCGCGGAGAAATGGGACTTCGCGTAAATTTTCTCCTGGCCTACTGCAGTGAGTCTGAATCCGTTTAGAGGGCGTTTTTACACAGGTTCGTTTGTGGGCAACCAGATAGTTGCTGTGAAAACTGAGAAGTTGTGTTGTGTTCGTTGCTTTCCTGTAAACCGTCGTTTCAGTTTCATCGTTGGGCGTTCTCTTGACGAGGAAATCATGGAGAGGCAGCTGCTGTTCTTGTTCTTCTTCCTTCGTGAATTGTATGTCAGGAGCAAGTTATGGAAGTTTTGCAGCACGTTTTTCCTGATGATAACAAGTGTGTCGTCAACGAAACGACGCTAACACATCTTGCCACTTCACCACCTCCACAGGTTCTTGGTTGGCCGCTTTCCCTGCCATCTATTTTGGCACTCCGATGATTGCTTCCTCATGGGCTGCGGCAAAGCACTCAACGTATGTCGTATCAGGCGGCACACCCCACCTGACTTCGATGCTCGCTGGAGTTCAGCCATGTCAGTGGATCGAGGAGGAGGAGGAGGCTCAGATACCTCCTCACAGATCACCTCTATCTCCACCTCCGTCAACATCCCCTCTCGCGCCACCCGTTTTGTCCACATTGCAAACCAGATCACCCTTCCTGATGCCTTGATCTGTGGCATTGCCAGCCATCAAACTTACGTCCTGCTCCTCATCTGTCCCATCCAGTCCGACGAGGATGCCCTCCTAACTGGCAGCTCAAGTATGCAACAACCGCAGATCTTGGTGGTAGACATGGGCAGTCTCAGTGAGGATAATCCCTACCCGTCTGCAACTGCGAGTCTCTTGTCTTTTCCGCTGGCATCCTATGAAGAAATTGCCCGCGAGGAGATCATGCTGAAATTTAATGCTGATCACAGATTTCAGGATCTTAGTCTCGGTAGGTGTCCTGCTGAAATTCTACAAATATTCCAATTTTACGATTGAGAAGTCATATTGGCAAACGCATGTTTTAGGCAATTCTTTATCAGGCCAATACAATTGAAGGAATTAAAACGGCCAGTTATATGTAGTGTTTAAATGTCCTTGGGGTAGTGGGGGGGGGTGTGTAAGTAGTCCTCTCAGTGTTCCCTTGTCTCATTCACGCTGTCGCCAGTGTGTTGAGGTCGTTGGGTCCGGCGAGCAAGGAAGAGGGGG